CAGTCTAAAGGGGGTGTTGGATCCATGAATCCACCTTCTACAAAGGCAGCGGGTACGTAAAGGTCAGCGCGGCTTCGGTTTTGATCCACTTATTGCATGAGTGTGCACACTGTGTGTGTGTGTATATATATATATATATATATATATATATATATATATATATATATACACATTCTATGAAGCACTGAGCATCATATTCAAACATTCGTTGAGTCAGTATCAAAACTACCGAGAGAAAGAGACAGAAATGTTGAAACCGATTATAAATACAACTGGATATTTACTTTTAATTCAAGCCGCGTGCGTCGTCAGAGGTAAACTTGTGCAGCAAAAAAAGAGGAAAAGCAAAAACAAAGTGGCACTTAAAGAAGCAAAGATAACTCATGATTTCAGAACTGCGGTCAAATTAAACGCACAGCGTGATTCATCGTTGCTCGCTGCGTGAAAACTAATAAAAGCAGAAGGGAAGATGGATGTGGGGCCTCACTGGATGACACAAAGAAGCACAAACAAGTGTGCGATATTCTCTTCTCGCCACTTATCTCCATCGAACATTCTCCTCGTCATCTCGGAGCTCCCTTTTCTTCCTGCGTCCTCGTGCGCTCCTCAGCCGATGAAAGGCCTCTCAGTCCTCCCTCCTCTTTTCCTTTCCTAACGTCTCTCTTTGCGTCTCCTTGTCCGTCAAACCCTCTCTGACTTGTTTTTTTTTTCGACGCACAGAAAGCGAACGTATTTAAAGAGACGGAGGGACGTCGTGTTCACTGCGGAACCACAGCCGAGGATTAGAACCCGATCGGCAAACGTCCCGTGCGTTTGTCCCCCGTCTCCCTCGTCTGTCCCCTCTCTGGCTTCCTTCCCTCCAGCGATTTGAGCACAAATCCTAAACTCCGGAGTCCATTAGCTCAGACACGGACTGCGTGGAGAGGGAGATGTATTTTGGGAAGATTGTAATTGCTTGTGTCATGCCGGTCCCATCCGTGTGACGGACTGTAACTGAATGTAGGATTAGGGAGTGTGTGTGTGTGTGTGTGTGTGTGTGTGTGTGTGTGTCTGTGGCCGTGTGAATGATGTGTGTCTGTGTGTTCAATACAGACGGACACAGCTTTGCTATTTATATGTTTAATTTAAATTCATCTGGTTTCTTTAAACTGAATTGAGACTCTTGTTGTGGACTGCAGACTGACCTAAAGGGATCCGATGATTTCGCTAAACGCGGTTTAATGGAGGCGGAAAGGTGAAAAGAACGTGTTGCTTCAACTCAAACTGGATCTTTTGGAGACTCGGGGAGTTTGTTTAAAATAAAGAGAGTTTGGAGAAATCTTGCTTGGATGCTGGATCTAAACATTGAGAAAAGAAATCTAGTTACTTCTAGCTTCTCCGCTAGCGACGAGTAGCTCGAGGCTACGCTAGCTGCTAATGTAGCGCAGCCACCGTGGACTGTTGACTACTGGCTTTGGGCCTCGTTTGTGGAGCTTCTGCAGCCCACAAACGTCCATCCTGACTGGCTGGTTGCCGCGTAGCTGCTACTGTATCGAAGAGGATTTGTGTTTTAATACTTACTGTGGACGGGATGTTGCCGCTCGCTTCGGATTGTGACGAGCAGGAAATACATTGCAGGTTCTCCTTTTTGTCTCCGACGCGGTCGACGCAGAGCTGAACCGGTTCGTTGTGTGTTCATCTGATTATGATTGTCATCATCTGGGATTGTGTTTTGCTATGTTCCCTATAAACACATGACCTGTCATTCCCATCACTTTCTCAGCGAGGTTGGTCATTTACGTGCAATTAGCTCTTCTTTTTGGCTTATTCATTATTCTAGAAAACTAAATATTGCATAAAACATTTGTCATTGATGAGACAATGCTGTCGCAGGCGGACCGACCGCCTCGTGGCTCCACCACCGTTTTCTTTCTCTAATGGAAATTTCGTATTAGTTTTTGTGATGAATTTGTTTCTTGACCGCAGAGTCAATGAAATCCTTTCACTGACTTATTAGCAAAAATGGAAAATTAAGCAGTTTCACAATTTATTCGAACGATTACAGCAGCAAAAAAACAACACAATCCCACATGTTTAAACTTCATCATATAACAAAGTTTGAAGAAACTTTAGAAAGACGCATCAGTGAATAAAAGATAAACGTCGAAGGGAGAATGGAAAGAGAATCGTGCTATTGACAAAACGAGTAAAGTCTGCTTGGCGGTTTGTATCAAGTAGCCAAGTTGTCAACTGTCTTTGCGTTACGCACGTGGATATATTTCAATCCCGGGGGGGCATGAAATCGTTGACATGGCTGATATCACTGTGATTAAACGCATCAATGCTGCAGGAAATAATGCTCCTAAAAATCTGCCTTCAGTTCAACTTCCCCAACACGCTAAAAACCCTCTTCTTCTCTGCTGACTCCGCTGCTACTGGAGCGCACAAAGGGGAAAGTGCACTGGAGTTCACGGCGGAGACTTTAAGTGCGGTGGCGTGGTTTCAGTGTTCGCTGAGGATTCGGCCGCCTTACGCGGCGCTTTACGAGCCTCTTGCCTCCGAGCCGCACTCAAGTATCCCGCGTGTTTGTTTGGTGCTCGCAGCAGTCTGGGGATTTGTGGCCAAATGTTCATACCTGAGCCCTGTGTGTGTGTGTCTGCTTCTCTTCTGTCCCGGGAGCCCCGGGTTCAACTCGCATCTGGACACACAATGCTGGGAAGCAAACGCACACACTGAGGCTTCAGAGGAAAGTAGACGTCGCGCGGTGAGGCTCAGTGGGTTTAGCCTGGCACACCGAGGAGTCACCTTCACCTCCTCGGCGGCCTCGGAGGATGCAGCAAGAGATAAATCCTCACTGCAGCATGTGTCCTAGAAGGCTGCCTGCGGGTTCCAGTGTGTGTGTGTGTGTGTGTGTGTGTGTAGGAATGGAAAAGGGGAAACAGCTGCCAGTGGAGTTTACCACAAGTCATTACTGTCCACAGGGGACAGAGGAAATGTAATTTTTCACACACAAAGACTTGATAGGACGCACTCAGTGTTGTTAATACACTGTCCATGACCCTGCCAGGATGTGGGTCTTGGAATTGACACACACACACACACACACACAGAATTTGCTATAATCAACACTTTCATTTCTTCCTCTCGCTGCTTGTTAGTTGTCACCAGTTTGTTCAAATGTTGAGTTAAAAGAAGCATTTGTTGTTGTTGTTGTTTGTTGGTCTCGTCAGCGATGTCGGTAACCGCTGCACCAGAACGTGACACCAATGCAAGAACTTATAATAAAACTAAAACACACAAAGTTCAAGTTCAACAAGCATTTCTACAGAAAAAGAAGTAGTGCACCGACCCGTCTTTGAACTGCATCTTTGTCCAATAAACTTCAGGAACTCCTGAACCTCGAAAAAAAAAGATACAATATGTTGTCTTAATATAAAACAGACGTTTGGCCCATTGTACCAATAGGGATTCATTCCATAATGAATTGCAGTCGGTGGGGATTTGAACCTGCAGTCTTGCTTCAGCGCGTTTTAAAAAAGGCCGAGTCGATCGTGATTCGAGTCATTAGTCCGCCGTGGAAACAAGATCGTAAGTTGACAGTAATTAATGAGCATTTTGGGAGGTCTGGCAGCTGCAAGGACGGCCTTCAAACACAAAGTGTACATGAAAAACAATCACAAGTCGAGGGAACAAAAAGCCGGCTGCCATTAATAGCTGCATCTGAACAATACCGTGCCAAACACACACACACACACACACACACACTGGCAGGCGTTCGTAATAGGAAATCCTAATTACAATGTATTCCAATCATTATTAAAACTACTAATAATAACTGCTACTAATTACTGTGTGCCAATCCTGCGCCGTGAGGAGGGGACATGGGGGGGCGACGGGGAGCGATTACAGAGCCAGTCAGTCAGCGACCAGGCTGCCCGAGAGCACCAGTCAAAGACGTCGCTCCGTCCGCCGCTCCGTCAGGAGACCCCTGAAGGTGCCTCGGGGGTCACGCGGCGCCGGGACGGGATTTAACGTCAGTTAAAGCGGCGCTAAGTGATTGAAAGCACCGGAGGACAGATGTCTCCCAGGAAGCAGAGCCCCCCCCCTCCCCGATGAATGATCGTCTCCGAAACTTCACGGGCCGACATTCATCTCGGTACAGCAGACGAATGGACAGATTGATGAATGGAAGCTGCTAAAAGTAAAAAGTAAGGAGAGGAGAGGAGCCGTGGAGCCGAAGCGCCATCGTTCAGTCGGCTCGTCTCTTTGCTCCATCTCAGCGACGTGTTTGACTCAGACGGAGCGAAGAGTCCAGAAGCACTCGGCAATTAATCTCTGTAAGAACGTTGTAGCTCTCGCGCGCATTAACACGAACGGCAGCACTTAAATAGCCATTACAATCACAATACTGAAGGTCGAAAATACACAAACACACAGACACACACACACACAGGGCTCGTAGATCCATACGGAACCTTGGCAGCGACTCGGGACAATTGAATTACTTCCTCTCTCTCCCCCCATTGGCCGAGAGGTCTGGGATATGCTAATTAAGCCTCGGCTGATAAGCGCGTCTCATCACCGCTAACTTCTCTGATTGCCGCCTGCGCTGCAAACCCCCCCAGTGCCTGACAAATAAGAAAGCACCTGGAGCCACAAGCTGGGACTAAAGGCGGATGAACCGGCGGGATGCGACGCGGCGGCGCCACGACAAGAGAAACTTACCAAAAACTTCCCGCCGCAATCAGTGTACCTCATCTACTTTTTCTAATTGATAATTAGTCTTACATTAATTTAGGGGCCAGCATCTATCTCTTATCACAAAGGTACAATTTATCAGCAGCTTAAATGGGTGGACTTAAATTGGGTTGGCAATGTTAATGATTCACCTTGCGAGGAATGGAGGGACACGGGGGAAATAATTTCTCCTGACTCATATTTAATTAACCTCAGCAGATGTGCTGGCTGCTGCTTTTGTGGCTCCAAAGAGACGTGCGTGAGACATTTCAAGTGCAACACCATCGTGTTTAAAAAATGAATATTTAATGTAAAAAGATGTTATATACATAAATATATTGGGAAACATTGTAATGGTTACATATGGTTATGGATACATCAGTATAAGTCTAATGCACAGAGGGGTCGAGTTGGCTCCTTCATACCGTGACGTCTCTGCTAAGACGCGTTAGTACCTTCAGCTCTGCTGTGAAAACCAGAGAGCCGTACATTCACAACGTGCCGTGTGCTAACCATGCTATGCTAACCATGCTATGCAGACTGACAAATAGAAAAAAACAAGAGGAGTATTGCTGGTACGGTTCATTATTTCCATGCATGTTGTATCTATGTGAATGGTAAACAGAACATTTGATGGACATAAGGGACATGGAGCGTGGTAACACTCTGGTTAAACCAACCAACAACACTAACCGGCGTTAAAAAGACTTGCATCAAAACATTTATTAAAGAAGTAACATACATGGGGATCTCGTACCAGCATCAAAGTAACAATAATTCACCTTCGTATAATGTTTCATCTCACAATAATGCAGCACAGCAAAGCTTCCTGACACCCACACAGGACATTTTTGCATTTTTTGCCCGTGTGTCTCCAGCGGATGTCTTTTTCTTTGGTGCTGCATAAGGCACATGGAGCGTGGCTACAATCATCCACAGTAACACAATTCGTCTTCTACTGCAACCCTTTGATACAGAATCACACATATTATTTAGTAATTAGTTGTAATGACTCATTACTCTCCACCTCTAAGGCCTTAGGCGTATAAAACACTGTTTTAATTCTTCATGTGACATTTAAGCTTCTTGTTTCCCCTTCAAATACAAATACAACATTTTTGACAAAGATTCATTAAACATCGGATGAAAGATTTCGATATTGCAATCACGATATTCTTTGTGAATTTAGAAGGAGCGTTGATTTCTGCATTGTTATTCTCGTTTTCTTTTAAAAACCCACTAGCAGGATGACGGTGGGACTTTTGCCCATTTCTCTACCAAACAAAGATGTTTTCTGTTGAATATGAAACGCCGGCCGGGACATCTCTCTGCAGCTCGCCAACCTAAAACAACGTTTTCTACTGTTTTACCAAATATTGCGCCCCCATTGGTTGTTTGGGGGCGTTGTCTGAGGTAACGCCAGTAGCTGGTGCTCCCGTACAGGAGCCAGGCTGCTAACGTTAACACTGAGATCTCAGGAGGCATCTTCTCCTCACTTCACCACCAGGTCAAACTGCCCCGTCCTTATTTTCTTCTTTTATTTGGGAGTTTGACACTGATGCTGAAAGAAAAGCGTGAAAAAGACACAGTCACGGCCGTCATTCAACGCGGAGGCCCTGTGACCCTCCTCCTGCTGCAGAACCTCTGCAGCCCGCGTACCCACGACCTCTCATCACCGCCTCTCCCGTGTTGTGCTTTGAAGACTCTCTGCATCAAACCACCGGGAGCTTCCCTCCACGTGCGCTGCCAGTCTATTGCTTCATAACCATCTATCTCCTCTTTCCCTCCTTGCCTTCCTATCTACTCTCTTCCTCCGAGGTGCAGATCTGTCAGGCAAACAAGCGAATTAAATGCTTTGTTTGGTCCGCACGGGCTCCAGTCAAATGACCGACTCAGCCACCCCTGAAGTGTCATCTTAAACATTTAATCTCCAGCGGAATGAATGGCGCTGTGCTTCTTGCAGTGAAACAGAGACGCGTTGGGCGCTGGGGTCCCGCCTCCCACCTAATTGCTGGTTTAGCGAGTGGCTAAATGGAAACGTTAAGGAGCCTGCTGATTGGATAGAACGAAAGGCAACTATAGAATTATTAAAAGCACATTAAGTGAAGATAATACGGCGCTTTTAGAGCACATTAATTAAGTACTTTCCATAATTCGTTGAATAAAAAATACTGCATGTGTACATCAGACCAGTCGTCGTGGCTAGTGGCGTTCTCCCTGTTACGTTACTGTTAAGTTGAGATAATGGGTCTAAAAACGCACTTGATTTAATACTGAAACGTTCGCTCACAGTTTGAGATGTTGTTTGGTGGATTCTTAATTACTAAACAGTACAAATTAGGATTTTTCCAAATAAATCCTTTGCTGTTTCCATCATCTTCTACATCTCAACACCGGAGGATTTTATTCCAAAAATGTAACATGTGGTGACATTTAAAATAGTTCCCCTTGTTTGTGGAGCAGCAGCAGTGGAACCACCAGGTGCAGCGTGAGCTGTATGTGCGCCTTCATCTGAACAGATCCAATTATCTTTGTGGCTCCGACGGGTTCTTGAAAGAGACGACTTAATCAGAGTACAGTGAAAAGTAGAAACCCTGCTAATTTCATACTGCGCGAAGACTCAAAGCAATTTAAATGACTTCAAACAACAAGACATTAAGCTTCACGCGGCCACTCGGTTATTAACCTCCTTTACCTTGTCGGTGTATTATTATTATTAGATATTACCGCGCAGACAGCGTTTGATAACCACTGGGATTCACATCACGCCACCGAGGGGTAAAGTACGGCCCGCGGAGGAGCGGCTCGCGTCGGGCTCCTGCTCGCTCTACACGGCCGCAGTCATGGCGTTCTTCTGCCTCGGGTTGGTTTGGTGTTGCTGTGGCTGTCTTCCTCCCTCGCCAGTGTAGACGTACTGGTCTGCACTGGGATCCACCGGGCGCCTGTAAACATGTAGGCGTGTATAGAAGTGGCTGGTGGAACAAAGCGCCCCCACCTCCCCCCCTCCCTCCCTTTACCTGTAGCCTCCGCCCGCGGCGCCGCGCGTCACAGTGTCGTACCGCATTCCACGCAGGGGCGGGGTGGGGGACGGGGGCACGTCCTGCCGCATGGGGCCTCTCTGCTGGGAGCTGGCAGTAGAAAAGCGACACGTCCGCCATTAGCACGCCGCGCGAGTGAGCGAAGGTGTTTATGATCCAAAAGTCTGATAAAAAGATGAAGTGAGCTTTCGGAGTCATTTCGTTACCTCGGGTGGGGGTAGTAGCCGGGGTCGACGCCGCGGGGGTCACCTGGCCGCGCGTATGGTTGACCAGGCGGGTAGCCGGAGTAAGACGGGGCCGACTGGGGGTTGGCGTGAGGGTAGGAGGGGGACTGAGGGTACCCCTGGGGGGGTCCGGGGTAATGACCCGACCAGGGCTGCATGGGGTAGTCCGTCACATCCAGAGGGCCGCGCCTGGCGGAGGAAATGGGACAAATCGGGGCAGAAGAAAACTGTTTGAGCGCTCGTGTTTGTTTGGGTTGTGTTGTTCTTTTTGTGCAGTTTAATTAGAACTCAAGAATAATTTTAATGCAGTTTTTGACTAAATGCCTTAAAATATTCACGAAAACTATTGAAACTATTTGTTTTAGGTGGAAACAACCATCCTGACCAAAGACCAGATAGCAACAGAATACAAGTAACATGTGACAGTTTAAAGCAGGACACGGCTCAGTTAACGCACGCACGCACGCGCACACACACACACACACACACACACACACACAGTCAGCTGTGGTAATCCAGTACGGTCAACAGATATCGATGTCTTGTGCCCAGAGGAAAGCAAGTACACAAACATGTGTCGTCCACATGGCCGTTTCACATTTTATCGGCCTACATTTTATTTTTATCCATTTCATCCGTTCTGATCTACACACCGGCTTCTCCACCTCTCTTCTTTCTCCTCCATGTCCACGTGGTTATGCTTATTCAGTACTCAGTGTGCATATACCTGAAACATCCTGCACAAGTACTTCAAGACTAATGTGTACTGAAGCATGTGCCTCTGTGTAAATGTGTTCAGAGGAGGCTCGTGCTCCTCTCGCCGAGTGTCATTACGCCACTCGCCGTCGATGTGCATCGTCGAGTGGGTGGAGCTCCGCAGCCTCCAGCCAATCACAGGGTTGACCCGTTGCCCGGAGATAACGTTGACGTGCACGCAAACCAGGGGACCGCGCGTGCACGCGCACAGAGCGCTGGTGGTCTCCATGCTGACGCCAGTGTGTGTCAATTTGGGTGGTCAGCAGTGGAGGGTATAACTAACTACATGCCCATCATGTCTGGGATGTCTTCTGCCCCTCCAGCCTCCATATCGGTTGTGCGACACACACACGCACACACACACACATTCTGCGTCTTCATCTGTCAGTCAGTCTGTCTGTCTGTCTGTCTTCTGGTACGCTCCGCCTACTCCGCCTGTCTCACTGCTGCGTACGAGCTACGCGTCTCCCCCCTTCGATGTCCACAGCTGTTTTTTCCTGCTCCTCTTCTGCTGGAAAGACTGAAAACAGGCGAGTGTGCCAGCTGCCCCGTCTGTCCACGTGTCTGCCTGCCTCGCTCTCCTTTCAGAGGCTTTATGACCACCAGTCTGCCTGCCGGCTGATCTGCGAGGCCCGGCCAGCCAATCGTTGAGCCGGTGCCACTTCGCCCGTATCGGCCGGTCAATCTGTCACTCACAATTTGCCCCCCCCCCCACCCCGGCACCGATAATGTCCCCGAGGCAGAGATAAGAGCGGCGGGGAGGGGACGGGGAGGTGAAGGAGGGTTAGGGCAGAGAGGGACGGAGTGAGATAAGATACAAAGTGAGAAGGAGAGAAGAGGGAAAGTATCGGAGGAGGCGTGAAGGATGCAGCTAGAAAACAAGGAGTAGAGGAGCGGAAAAGTGGGGAGTACAAAGAAAAAGACACTACAGTTAATGTGCTAAAATAGACCTATAGAAACAGGGACGGGTGGATGAGGAACACGAGGATAAGGTTAGTATTTATTTTAAGGACAATTTGGTGGATAAGACCCCAAAAAAAGCTGTCAGGAAATGTGAATCTTTCTCATTTTCAAGCTGCAGGCGGTTAATTGTTTCCCCTTATTGGACCCGACGACAGGAACATGCAGAATCTATGGAGAAATAGCCAATCTTCCAGCAGAGGGTCTGGATTACTTATGGAGGTCATTGTGAGGCATCAGCCTTAACTTGAGACTCTTTGAATGGTCTTTCTGCAGTTTCATTTCATTATAATATGACTTGCAATTTAGAAAGTTACCTTTGGCACAGAAAATCCAAATCACTGGAACCATTCAGGGTTATTTAATCAGTCAAAAAAACTCTTTAGATACTACAGAGATTCCTTGATAATGAAATAATAATTAGTTGCAGGCTGTGAATCATGGCGGAGTCGGCGTCTCAGGAATGAGGTGGACATCCAGTGGGAATCTTTGGGGAATCCCGCTGGATGTCCGCTGGCAAGTTTGGAATTCTGCCTTCAGGAACCCGGTCAGCGCGGCACAGCAGCTGGGGATTATGGGGATGGAAACCCATTACTGGCTCTCTCACACACACACACACACACACACACACACACACACACACACACACACACACACACACACACACACACACACACACACACACACACACACACACACAGACACACACACACTCACACACCTTATCTTAGCTCATAAGGAGCGCGAGCTCCTAAACACCCCCTCCCCGAAACCCCAAACCCCACATACTCTGGAGGAGGAAAATTGGCATACAGCTAGAGAGGAGTTAAGACCACTGAGGGGGGTGGTTGGTCTGTGTGTGTGTGTGTGTGTGTGTGTGTGTGTGTGTGTGTGTGTGTGTGTGTGTGTGTGTGTGTGTGTGTGTGTGTGTGTGTGTGAGTGAGAGAGAGAAACAGATGTAATGAGTGAGAGCAGCTTCCTGGCACATGCAACAACTAGTTTAACGTAATTGAGAGAGTAATCAAAGCAAAAAGTCAGAATTGAAAGTGTTTGAAGCAGAACAGGGGGCTCAGTTTGATCATGAATTCAACCTTATCGTATATGATCAGGGAGGCCTTCTTTGATATTGTTAGTAACCCATAGCACAAAGGTTGGATATATCCGAACGGGTCATTTGAAATATTTCCCTCCCGGTCTGGCAGTAATTGAGAGTAACGAGAGCTCTTGGAATTCTTTGGTATTTGAGTGATTTCTGAGGAAACAAGGAGTTGTTATACGTCCTCTGCACCTGCCCCTTTCTCTCAAACACACGCTCTTCACTTACTCCTTCTGAAAGGGCTGGATCCAGCTGTTAGACACACACACACACACACACACACACACACACACAGCCATCGATCATGCCAGCCTGTCTCAGAGAGACACAAACACCTTTAAGAAAGAGAGACAAGACGTCGCGATGTGACACAACACACTAAAAAGCTCCTGAGAGTCGATGGCAGACGCAGCGGAGATGGATCGTCTCCATGAAAGCAAACACAAACTAAATAAAAACTCCAAATATGAAGAGAGGAAGAGTTTGAGACGTGAGGCCGGGTGGGCGGTTCGGGGGGGGGGGGAGATTTAATGCAGCTTTAATTCACTTACACCTTTATGAGTCTTCACGGAGACGAGTCCAAACCTCGTGCTCATATGCATTTTAAAACAGATTCTAGGGAAAAAAAAACGCTTCATATATTCAAATTGCGTTCAGCGGCGTCGGACTCTTTGTCAATGAGAGTCACGGTGTTTTGACAGCCTGGTAATAAAACAGATTAATAGCTCAAACGGTTGCACAAACGCCGGCGTAACGTCGTTTGCTGAGCGGCGCTGGAAGCGGAGCTGCCGTGATGTAATGCGCCCGCAGTCCTAACGTAGCTCCATCTTCTTAATGTGATACTTCATTATGAAGCTTTAATCACAGATGCATCACAGTCCAAACAATGAGGCAATAAAAGCTTAAGTGAAAAATAATGAAGGGCAGAGAAATACTTTCTCTTCTGTCTAAGGGAACGATTGGACTGGGATTAAAACCTCCAGTTTTTTGCAAATTACATTTTATATTGGTTTTGAACTCAGTATTTTAATATACAATTATATCCTCAAGTGCCTAATGCCATAATAACGCTACACATTAAAAGTGGTTAGGAAAAGGCTTTCTTTTCACCTTTTTGATGTGATCTGTAAAGTATAGCTTTAAACATTTAATGAGTTTTGCTTATGAATGAATATTCACATTTATGCTGCCAAGTGCTTAAAAATCCTTTGGGAGGATCTTGAGAGGTGATTTTGAAAATCCATAACATGGAAAAGTAGCAAAGAAAAAATAGCTCTTTTAATCATAGTAAATCACTGTTTTTTCTTTGTGGTTGAGTGAACTTAACAGCGTGATGGTTTGCTGAGCGGGTGGAAGCACAGGTACAGCACCGGCCATCTTGAACGGCGCTGAACGTGAGTGGTGGAAAATAACAAACTGTTAACACAACTGAGTGATTAAGAGCGACGCCAGAAGGAGCAGAGAGAGTTTTTATTAGGAGAAGGCCAATAAGACACTAAGCTGTTTTCCTACTTATGGTTAAGTGGTTACATACTGTGTGTGTGTGTGTGTGTGTGTGTGTGTGTGTGTGTGTGTGTGTGTGAGTGTGAGAGAGTGGATGTGTGCGTTCATCAGGGATGGAATTCTGTTGGTTCAGCTGTCAATGTGGTTTGTATTGGTGTGTGTGTGTGTGTGTGTGTGTGTGTGTGTGTGTGTGTGTGTGTGTTAGAGAACCCTAAACCTCCCGAGACTCCTGACCCCTTCAGGTCACATGATACTCCATCAGTCCCCATCAAACACTTAGAAGAAGGGGTCAAAGGTGAAAGAAGGGTGTTATCAACTAGGATTAGGGGGCATACCAAATACATAGACACAACAATCAAACCCTCGTTACCATTTGGCACTTTTGACAAACCATTTGGTGACATTGATAAACCTCAAAGTGCAGTAAAAGTGAAGCTGACCTTCTGTTATGTTTTCGTGGACCCTCACAGGTCCTCATCAGTCCTGTGAGGGATCTTTCCACAGGCCTGTTAGGCCATGAAACTCTGCCTTCCCTAACAAATATATTACAGGTTTATCATTTGACCCAGAGCTAGACAAAAGCAGCTGGTGCTAGCTTAAGCCGGCTAACGTTAGCACGTGAAATGGCTCTCAAGCTGAACCGATGTTTGAAAAGCGTCTAAATTGTGCACATGAGCATGCTTTTTACTTTTGCAATTTCCGGACCGGGTCAAAGGCATTTAATTTGGCAAATGTAACACTATGAAATACAAGTCTGACTGGAGTGTAAACTTCCCCAAACCGAATGTAGGAGCAGCACAGAGCTGCTTCAGTGCTAAACTGCGCGGTAGCACCGGGGCTCCCGTGCGCTCCATCTCACATCATCAAAGAGTCC